TATAGTAGCTAAAATATATAAACTGTTATTAAGATTTGAAACAGGATGAACAGGTTAAAGACTGTATGGTGAAATGGGCTGCAAATTTTGGTTATAATATAAATATGGATATATGAAAGAAAATGTGGGAACCGGTGTTAAATTTACATTGTGTCATAATTTAAAAGATAATGGTTATAAAATGATGTATTGATGGTATATGACACTGGTTAAACTGTCATAAACAGAAATATCAAACCAGTGTTGGAAGTGTGAAAAGGAAGAGGGAACTTTTCATCACGCATGGTGGATCTGTGAAAAAGAAATGAAATTTTGGGTGCAAATTCATACAATGATGCAAAAGATATTGCAGAATAATATTACAATGAAACGGGAATTATTTTTATTGGGTTTTATGGATGATTAACAAGACATATGGGAAACTAATACTGTATATGTTAACTGCGGCAAGATTATTGCATGCACAAAGATGGAAGAATAATGAAGTACCCAAAGTAGAAGATTGGATTATAAAACTGACAGAGCTCGTGGAAATGGCAAAGCTGACTGGTTTGGTCAGAGAAAAAAACAACAGACTTTTTTAAAAGACGGGAAGCCTTATATGGGCTTTTTGTTGAAAGAAGAAAAGTCTGAATTGATGATTTGGGGATTAGAAAGGATCAAAGAGGAAGGGGAAAGAATAATATGGCAGTCCTCGCTTAACAATCCTAATAGGGACTGGAATTTCTGTCACTAAGCAATAGTAGGCAAAACATCATGTCACTGTACTGCTTAGTGATGAGAGTTCCCATAGTCCCGGTTGCAGTCGTTAGGCCACTGTCTGGCCAGGACCTGACACTTCTGCTCTGCCATGCTCACCTCCACTTCAACTCCCCCACCCCTCTATCTCCCCCAGCCTCTGCCCTTTTGGCCGCCTTGCACTCCGCTGCTGCCGCCTACCCTTGCCACCCCTCACTGACCTTCACCATCTTCTTCTTCCCACTGCTGACAAGGTGCGCCTGGTCAAGGCAACTGCTCGCCCTTAGCAAGTAGGAGTACAGGGCAGCCAAAAGGACAGAGATGGGGGAGGAGATAGGCGGGGAGTTGAAGATGTTCAGAAGTGAAATTTGATTAAAAAGTTTGATGCCTATGGCTGGCATCCAATCTTGGCACAAAGTTTTGAAATAAAGGACAAAACTCTTTGGGGGTTATTTCTTTTGGCTTCAAATACTGAAAGCAACCTCTAGTTTTAAAGTTTCAATATAAATATTGAATCAAAATTTAGCTATTAATATTCACACCCTCATTGATTTCTACCTGTTTTGAACAAAAAGGACAAACCTTCAACACCACTGATGCACTTCACTCTGTCCCGGACTTCCACGTTATATCCCTCGAATGACATGAAAACACCATCTGGATGATATGGTGCTCTCTGGGCGTACACTTTGGAGTAGCTATGGGAGAACTCAAACCGGTCATAGCCATCATATTGGGCTACTTTCCCATAAACTTCAAAGTACTTTTCCACCCACGAGAAAGGCAGGAAGATCTCACTCCCCTCCCTTCTGCCTTTAATAGTGTGCTCATCATTGATCAGACAATCGATTTCTTCGTATTTCAGCCCCAAGACTTTGTTTGCATGGAAGCTTCCAACAACGGGGGGAGCCTTCTGCTGCTCCTGGGGTGATGCCTCCTCACTCTGCTGCTTGGCTGGTCGGTTCACACATTGGCTGCTCTCTGATGCAGCCGCTTGTTTCTCTGTTCCATCCGTCTTCACGCTGCTCCTCAGGTTATGTGGGAAAGGTGAGATTTTGCCACCGGTACACCGATTCCACAGCAGGATGGTGATCGAGGAGAAGAAAATGCAGATGACAATCAAAGTCTTATAGTTCACCCGAGCTGCCAAGCAACGCATATTCATACCATACCTAAAACAAAAGTTAAATTAAATTAAAAGCCAGAATGGAAGAGCTGATCGGGCACAGAGCTCCCCATGAAACAAGCAAACTCAACAGTTCCAAGCCCTAGTTGATTGCTTTAGGTATCCATCTTGGGGAAGATGCATTTGCTTGGATCTGTTCTGCACCTACAGCTTCAGAGCAAAGAGAGAACAATATTTTATATTGTTTCTTATATAATAGAAGCTTGCAATGGTTTGTAGAATGTAAATTATGTTAGAACAATACACAAAAACTATATTAAAAGTAATGTACAGTAAAAAAAAAGAAAAAAAAAGACTCCAATGGCAGCCCTGACTCAGTATCTTTTTTTCTGAGGGAGTGCTGTCACATTAAGAACTTGCAAGCTCCCCATAGTGGGGAGCCATTCTTTATCTGTAAACACATCAATACACTTTTGAAGCAGAGAATCTGAGAACTGTCAATGTCAGTAAGTACAGAACAATTTGGGGGGCAGAAGAGGGGACGAGCTGGACAAAATGTATATTTGTACATCCCTGGATGCCCTCAGCTAAAGCAGTTCACTGCATATCAGAACAGCAACCACTTGGGAGGCTTGACTTACATTCATCTTGCAGCTGTGTAGTTGAAGAGACACCCTCCCCCAAGTCAGGCTTTACAGGTAGTCCTTGACTTACAATGGCAACTGGAACCAGAATTTCCATTGCTAAGTGATGTAGTCGTAAATCGTGACTGCACTGCTTAGCAATAGGAATCCCTGCAATCCTGGTTGCCATTGTTAACTGAATCCCATGGTCATTAGGCGAGGCGAATTCCTGTCAGCTTCCCCCAACCAAATCAGTGGGAAAGCCAGCAGGAAGTTGCAAGTCCCAGGCGGCTTGCAAGCAGGCCAGCAGGCAGGTAAGTAGCTGCTGCTGGGTGGGGGAGGGTGCAAGGGAGGTGCAGTGAGGCTCAGGGAGGGTGTGCAAACATGTGAGGGAGGTGTGGTAAGGGTCGGGGAGGGTGTGCAAGGGAGGCACGGTGAGGCTAGGGGTGGGTGCGTGGGGGTATGCAAGTGGCCAGCGCAGCACAAGTGCGGAGAGGCTGGGGGAGGGTGCACACTGGGGTAGACTTACTGCAGTGACTTGCAACCTTCCTTGCCTACTTCCCCATTGACTTTCTGGGGAAGCCGGCAGGGAAGGTCACAAACGGCGATCACGTGATCACAAGGTGCTGCAACCTGTCACGTGTGTGAGCTGGTTGCCAAGTGCCCAGATCGCAATTATGTGACCCTGGGGGTGCTGGGATGGCTGGAACTCTGAGGACCCATCGTAACCATCATTTGTTCAGCACCGTTGTAACTTCGAATGGACACTGAACAAATGGTTGTAAGTCGAGGACTACCTGTACTCTGTTCTTTGGAACCTCATCTGCCACTGAGTTTTGGTAGAGGTACCAGTTACAATTAATATCCACCCTCCAAATTTGTAGTAATTGTATTAAGTTAATTAAAATGGTTTAAAATGGGATTATGGTAGAAAGTTAATACTTGGAAATCAAGTTAAGAATCAATTAAAAAGGACTGGATTTAAATCTTTTTAAAGTTTGGTTATGCCCACCTTCCTTATTGACCTTTCCCACTTCAATTTTGGCCCTAACACCCCACACAAGACAACATGTGGCCCTCAATTCTAAAAACATTCACCAAAAGTGGTCTATTTTACTAGTTTTGAACAATATTCTAACTGGAAATAAGTCAAATTCGTTTCCAAAGGGAGCAAGTGTTTCTACTTGAAAGTCCATTGTTTCATCAATGAAACCTCTATTTCGGCCTCTAATTTTGCTTTCTTTTTTCGGTGGTAGTTTCACTTTAAAGATTCAAAAATCATTACAACACACAAGATTCACTGAACATATACCAACCTATAAACCTACCTGGAAACTGAATCCAAAACAGCTGTTTTGGAAAATAAGATGAATGGGGTACTGGAGAGGAAATGTTATATTGCCATGTGATAAAAGAGGACAGTAGTAGCTGACAGTTGTTCTGGAAAGGCAGAGAGGTGGAAAGAGAAGCCCAGAACTGAAGAAACAGCTGCCAAATACACCAGATACTACCCTCTGCGTGTTTTCTCTGACTTTGATCTCTTGTATAAAACTTCACATGTGGTTATCTTAATTCAATCCCTACAGCTGAAAATGACTCCCATATTTCAAATGCACAGATGATCTGGTGGCCTAAAAGGTCCCTTTGAGAGATCAGACAAAATAAGGGAAGAAATATGCTCTCCCAGATAAAGCCCAGAGTTACTGTGGTTTGAGGGAAAATACAGTGCCACAAAGCTCCTCCTTTGATCGATAAACAGAGCTTTCCTCCTTCCCAAAATGTTCATGCAGGGATATCACAGATGGCATCGCCCATGCAATATTCAGAGAGGATTACATAGCACAATGTGCAAGTCGATTTTGCACGTCACCACTGATTTGGGCTGTAATAGCAGATCCATGTGACACTCTTCCAGTTCAAAGCAGGAGCTGGAATATGTAGAAGTACTTACACTTTTACATGCCTGGCAAATGTAAACTTCTTTGGATTGTCCACTAATTGAGACCATGGACTGCACTTTCATTCATCTGACTGAATTGTAGCATGAAACTGTCCTATATTACTGCAACATAGCAACATTTAAATGAATTAACTATACTTTTATGGAAATGGCAACAAGAAATACTATTTTTTTACTTTAGTAGATTTTAAAAAACGCCTTTTAGGTAACGTCTACTAATGTATAGCTGCCTCACCTTTCAGATACTAAGCTAAAAACTAAAGCTAAAAATCACTTTGAACTTAAGAATAACCTTTTTCACGCAAAAATATAAAGCACATTTTACATTTAGTTAAGCTGTCTCTAGTATGGAAAGGAGAACTGCCAAAGTTGCTGGGAATAGGGCGGCATATTAATTTCAATCATCATCATCATCATCATCATCATCCTCATCATCCCCCAGTGAGGCACTACCTTGACGTGGTTGTGGGGTCTGCATGCTCTGAGGAGGATGAGAGCTTTGCCAGACGTTCAACCATGCTGGACGGGACTCATGAGCCAGACAAAGAGTGTCTCTCCCGTAAACAATATGGTGGGACGTAATTTACAGAAACCCATACCAGATCAGTCTTTGCCCGGGTCAACAAGGACCACGCTAGGTGTTCTAGTTCCTGGTGACAAGTGGGCTACAGGACTCAGGACTGTTGGCTGAGCAACCAGGGCCAGCAGCTGCAGAACTACTGGAAGAAAAGTTGTTTACCGTCACAAATATATGAAAACTGAAAACAAAGAAATAATGACCTGCTATTGCAAATCAAGTCCAACAAGAAGAGGACATCTGAAAAGAATGCACCAC